CAGTGATAGCTGGCAGTGGTGGCAGGCAGTGATGGGAGGCAGTGATAACTGACAGTGGTGGCAGGCAGCGATGGGAGGCAGTGATAGCTGGCAGTGGTGGCAGGCAGTGATGGGAGGCAGTGATAGCTGGCAGTGGTGGCAGGCAGTGATGGGCGGCAGTGATAGCTGGCAGTGGTGGCAGGCAGTGATGGGAGGCAGTGATAGCTGGCAGTGGTGGCAGGCAGTGATGGGAGGCAGTGATAGCTGGCAGTGGTGGCAGGAATTTATGGGAGGCAGTGATAGCTGGTAGTGGTGACAGGCAGTGATGGGAGGCAGTGATAGCTGCAGTGGTGGCAGGCAGTGGAAGCTGGCAGTGGTGGCAGACAATGGTGGCAGACAGTGATGGGAGGCAGTGATAGCTGGCAGTGGTGACAGGCAGTGGAAGCTGGCAGTGGTGGCAGGCAGTGGAAGCTGGCTGTGGTGGCAGGCAGTGGTGGCAGGCATTGGAAGCTGGCAGTGGTGGCAGAGGATGGCAGGCAGTGGTGGCAGAGATGGCAGGCAGTGGTAGGCAGAGATGGCAGGCAGTGTGGGGGCAGGCAGTGGAGGCAGGCAGTGGTGGAGGCAGTGGTGGCAGGCAGTGGAGGCAGGCAGTGGAGGAGGCAGTGAAGGCAGGCAGTGGTGGCAGGCAGTGGAGGAAAAGCAGTGAAGGCAGGCAGTGATGGCAGCAGTGAATGCAGGCACTGGTGGCAGGCAGTGGAGGCAAGCAGTGGAGGCAGGCAGTGGTGGCAGGCAGTGGAGGCAAGCAGTGAAGGCAGGCAGTGGTGGCAGGCAGTGGAGACAAAGGTGGCAGAGATGATAGGCAGGAGTGGCAAGCAGATCCGGCATTGGCAGAGGCGGCAGGTAGTGGTGGCAATGGTGGTAGTAGAGTTGGCAGGTAGGGATGGTAGAGGTGGCAGACTGGTGGCAGTGATGAGAGAGGTGGCAGACAGTTACGGTAGAGGTGGCAGACAGTGGTGGTAGAGTTGGCAGACAGTGGTGGTAGAGGTGGCAGACAGTTACGGTAGAGGTGGCAGACAGTGGTGGTAGAGGTGGCAGACAGTGGTGGTAGAGGTGGCAGACAGGGTACTAAGAAGGCCTCACAAGGACGTGTGGTGCTAAGCAGTATTATAAACCCTCGTTGTGCAGAGTTAAACCACAAGAGCAAATAAACCACACACGATATAAATCAGTGGTTTTACTTACATTCCCAAACACTACGCACAATCGTGTACACAAGTCAGACACTAATTAATCAATTAATAAAACACAGTTTTAGTGACATGAGGACACAGGAGACGACAGCAGTGAACACACACACGGAACTAGTGAACATTCCTTGTAATGTCTACGATGGATCTGATTGTCTGGGATGTTCCTTGTAATGTCTACGATGGATCTGATTGTCTGGGATGTTCCTTGTAATGTCTACAATGTATCTGATTGTCTGGGATGTTCCTTGTAATGTCTACGATGGATCTGATTGTCTGGGATGTTCCTTGTAATGTCTACGATGGATCTGATTGTCTGGGATGTTCCATGTTATGTCTACGATGGGTCTGATCGTCTGGGATGTTCCTTGTAATGTCTACGATGGATCTGATTGTCTGGGATGTTCCTTGTAATGTCTACGATGGATCTGATTGTCTGGGATGTTCCTTGTAATGTCTACGATGGATCTGATTGTCTGGGATGTTCCTTGTAATGTCTACAATGGATCTGATTGTCTGGGATGTTCCTTGTAATGTCTACGATGGATCTGATTGTCTGGGATGTTCCTTGTAATGTCTACGATGGATCTGATTGTCTGGGATGTTCCATGTTATGTCTACGATGGGTCTGATCGTCTGGGATGTTCCTTGTAATGTCTACGATGGGTCTGATTGTCTGGGATGTTCCTTGTAATGTCTACGATGGATCTGATTGTCTGGGATGTTCCTTGTAATGTCTACGATGGATCTGATTGTCTGGAATGTTTCAGTAAGGAGGAAACTATAGACAAACGGTGCAGAGAACCGACAGGTTGATAAATTAGACACGTGTGCAGTACTTGGGTATCTTTATTGTGGGAACGTTTCGCCACACAGTGACTTCATCAGTCCTATACAAAGAAGAATGGTGAAGATCAGAAGGAGTTTGAGGTAATCAGTCCCTCAATTTTGATAAGATTGATGGACTGATTACATCGACTCCAGGCTGAGGGACTGATTACCTCAAACTCCTGATCTGTACTGTTCTTCTTTGTATTTGACTAATGAAGCCACTGTGTGGCGAAATATTTCCACAACAAAGATACCCGAGTGTTGTTACATGTGTCTAATTTATCATCGAGGTAACTACCTCAGGCAAGCCACTCTCACTCTGAAGTGTCAGAATGCCGCAGCACCTGCCTGTCACACCAGTAGTAGAATGAGTCGGCAGCTCACCACTTGATGGCTCTGGATATCCATACTTCCATCTGACCGATGTTACCCGTAGGATAGTGCTATTGTATACCGCGTATCGATTAAATCTACTTAGAAGTTGTTCCTGGGGTCAACTCCCCCATGACCCGGCCCTCGACCAGGCTTCCCGGTGGATCAAAGTGTGATCAACTAGGCTATTATTGCTGGCTGCACACAATCCATTGTACAAACCACAGCCCGGCTGATCAGCCACGGACTTTAGGTTCAGTTCCCACCTGAAGACAGCCAGGGATCTATTGGTAATTCCCCTTATGTATGATGAGAGGCTGTTGAACAGTACTGGGTCCTGGACACATACTGTCTTTTCTCTGGGGGTATGTTGCACCGTCTGCCTTTTTTTTTGGGGGGGGGGAGTGGTTTCTGTGCGCAGATTTGGGACGAGCCCCTCTAGGATTTTCCAGATATAGATTATGATGCATGTTTCGCTCCTGCGTATTAAGGAGTACAGGTCAAGGGACTCCAAATGTTCCTAGTACTTAAGGTGCTTAACTAAACTAATACGTGTAGTGAAGGGTCTCTATACAATCTCTAGATCTGTAATTTTCCCTAATGAATGCCCCACAACACACAGCTAAATGAACTACATCGACAAGAATACATTGTCAGAGAAACCATGCATCGACAAGAACACCGCTAATATAATGTTAAAGAAGCCTTACAGTGACAAGAACACAGCTAATATAATGCTAAAGAAGCCTTACAGTGACAAGAACACAGCTAATATAATGTTAAAGAAGCCTTACAGTGACAAGAACACAGCTAATATAATGTTAAAGAAGCCTTACAGTGACAAGAACACAGCTAATATAATGCTAAAGAAGCCTTACAGTGACAAGAACACAGCTAATATAATGTTAAAGAAGCCTTACAGTGACAAGAACACAGCTAATATAATGTTAAAGAAGCCTTACAGTGACAAGAACACAGCTAATATAATGCTAAAGAAGCCTTACAGGACAAGAACACAGCTAATATAATGTTAAAGAAGCCTTACAGTGACAAGAACACAGCTAATATAATGCTAAAGAAGCCTTACAGTGACAAGAACACAGCTAATATAATGTTAAAGAAGCCTTACAGTGACAAGAACACAGCTAATATAATGTTAAAGAAGCCATACAGACATCAACATACGATTGCGCTGCTCAAATCGCACTTTTGCATTTGTCTTACCTTCCTAATGTTATGACTCATGAAATAGTAATGACACGATTGTAAACAAACCACGGAACGGGTGGCGTTTGAACTCTTGGAAAATGAGTCGTAAAACTCCAGGCCAGTACTGGCCTTGAGTTTTACGACTCACTAGCCGTGGGTTCTAACCCCACCAGTTCCGTGGTTTGTTACCTAATCTTATAAATCAAAAGAATAGAAAGATACAATACCGTGTCTGGAACAATACACATTTAACCGACACAGTGTGTCATTGTCGGACCGAAACGTCGTCAAAGTTTTCATTCTCATATTGTTTACAGTTCCTTGATAATGTGAGACATCACGAAATTTCTTGGAAGTTGACTTTTTTTTCACAGTGGTTACTTTGCATATTGTGATATTACCTGTGTATTGTGATTATTGAATATATAAGTTTATTTAGGAACAGGTACACATAAGTACAGTTATCATATTAAGTGCTTTGGATAACCCAAAAACCAGGCTCTAGTTCCTCGTTGTGACACTGCAGCACTTCTGACATTCCATGGCGTTCGTATAGGAGTCCGGTTTTAGGTTATTCGTGATAGCCTCTACTATAAACGAGTCTAATATATAATGAACATTTATCATATTTTATAATTGCCGGTTCTTTAATATTCCATTCGAGTCAAGTGGAAGAAGGGATGATGATTCTGGCTTCTGACAAATATGCTGAGTTATTGGCAGACTCTTAGGTGGCTGAAAATCGCATTTGATTCCTGGGCACTTTGTATCGAATATTTGTGTTGTGATATCCTAACATCTAGAGGTTTGCCAGGCTGTCCCACATGAGATAAGTTGCAACTATTACAACCAGCTCTGCACACACTACCAACACATTGGTGAGGAGAATTCTTTATCAAGATTCTTTTAACAGTCCGTGAATTCTTAAAAAACTACTTGTATGATCATTTTTCTAAGAGCATTCGGCTGAGAATCAGCACATTCTTGATCTGAGGTGTTATTCTAGGTTCAGTCTTATGATAAGTTTTTCTAGCTGCCAGCAACGCTGATTCCACGAACTTCTTAGTAGGTACTGCAGTTTCGTGGCAATATCAAATATTTTTCTAATTTCTTCGCCGAGAAACTACACACACACACACACACACACACACACACACACACACACACACACACACACACACACACACACACACACACACACACACACACACACATACACACACACACACATCAAAGTGAAACAAGTCAAAAAGTTCTTTAATATATAAACTTATATTTAAATGCGTGAGTGTGTTTCCTTCTGTCATACACTAAAACACTCAGAACTGGCTACAACTAACTTTATATTTTCTTTCTCCCTAGTGGTGGAGCTGCTGGAGGAGTGAGGGAGAAGCAGTGGCCACCGCAGAAGAGCACCAACAGCAGGAGCAGCAGTGTGAGCCTGACGCAGGGGTTGAGAGTGTAGCGGGCAGTGTGAGCAGGGAGGCGGTCATGTCCCGACCACAGCAGTAGACAATGAGCGAGGAATCAGAGTCACTGAATGAGGAGGAACGCAGCGTATTTCGTCCGTTCACCAGAGAGAGTCTCGCTGCCATAGAAGCTCGCATCGCCGAGGAAAATGCTAAGAAGAATGAACTACAAAAGAAGAAGGAGGAGGGGGAGGTAAGAGCGGTGACGCGGGGTGTTATGTTGATGGAGACAGACAAGGAGGGAGGGAAGTGAAGGAGGTTAAAAACTTTAATATATGAGACAGGAAATGGGGAAGGAAGGGGGGGGGGGGGAATATGAGAAATGGGGCAACTAAAATTGGGTGTGAGAGCGGAGACAAGAATATTGGGAAATATAACTGTGATAATCAGAAACCAAGTGATCTCAACAAGGAAGGAATAGATTGATCACTGGGAAGCGCTAAGCACGTAGGGGTAATTTAGTGCCTTGCCAACGGGAGGCAATCAATGTTAATCCGAGGAAAGGGAGAACAGGTCCACTTCCTCGGATAAAGCGTCCTTCACAGCTTCTTACATAAAAGAATGACTGAGCAGTTTGACCTAGACATGGCCGATGAGACAGATAGGTACGGAGAAACCAGATTTCTGGTGTGTGGGACAGTAGGCGGTCACAGCACCAAAATATTCTGGGGGAAGCACTACATCGTAAGTAATACAGTGTTTGGGTACTGGAAGGTGATCAGGTTTGACTCATTGGAAGGTCACTTTCCATCTTTCTCTTCACAGACGACTAAGACTGGTGCGATACACAGACAACCCACACATAGGAGAAGGAAGCTTATGAGGACGTTCCGGTCCGACTTGGACTATTGACAATGGTCCAAGTCGGACTGAAATGTTGTCATAAGCGTATTTCTCCCATTTGCGGGTTTTTTATATATTGTTCCAGTCACGGTATTATGCGACTTTGTTATTTAAGACTGGTTTCTCCGTACGCTGCATAATTAATTCTCTTGAATATATCAAATATTAACTGTCCTCTTATTCCTTAGTGTCTTCTTGCAACTCTTATATTCAACTTTGGTTTTTCTAACCTTAGACTTGTTCATTTAAAAAAAATGTTGAGTAATGTATGTGTTTAATGTGAACTAGCTTGGAACTGTTGAATGTGTATTATTTTGATGTGCTCTTAGCCTTCCCGTCCATACAGACGCCTTCATAAGTGTGAGTTTCGTATAAGCTTGTGCATTTTTGATGTTATGTTCAAGAGGACTTGATCCGAGCCTGCAGCACGGCCACCCTCCTTCCCACGCCAGCCTCCAGCCTCTCTCACATTGTTTACGTTTTCGCTGGCAATCCGGATTTCGCCTTCTTGAGTGGCGTCACTCCGCCCCCTCCCCCTCTCGCTGGAGATGGTAAACAGTGTGAGGGAGTATAGGCTGAGTGGGTGTAAGTAGGCGAGTGTATTTGTAAGCCGGAAGGTGGTAAAGAGCTTGCACGGCAACAGTTTTTTAGGACATATTGCAGAACTTTGCCGGAGTAAAGAATTTCTCTGTAAATTATCTCTTTGCCAAACTTGTCGGCACCATTTGCCAGTCAGATCATAATGTAAGCCGGACAGCGTCCTCTTGAAACCCTTTTGTAGTCTGTTGCCTCTTGAAGAGCTGTTGTACACCCTTGTAGATACTCAACCCTTAAAGAACCATTAACCCCATTGTAATGCTCTCTTAGAATTAACAACTTTCCCTTAGTCTGTATTCCCTATTAATATATTAGAACTCAAATCTTTTTTTCCCCCTCAACTTGAATTATCTATACATATTCATAGGGCATTAATGTATTATCCTATATTGCTTACGTATATATTGAATACTGCCTTATACTCTTGTGGTATGCTCTTTTGTATGTTTAACCCAGTATGTAATGCATCAAGGAACGTTCAGTACCCACAGAGTGGGAACATGCTTTTACTTTATGTGTCAGTCAGTGCAGTGTTGTTTAATGTCTCACTTCAGGAACTCTACTGACTCAAAGACTACACCTCAGACACACTAGGGGATGCTGCTCCTCTCTCCCAGATACACTCTAGAAACTGAAGCAGCTGCTTCTCTTTCCCCTGACACACTCTACTGCCACTCTTCCCATCACACGCTTACGAACTGAAACAACTGCTTAAAATCGATCCTAAACAGCTGTACATACCTATTTCGTCCCTCCAAATATAAAGAAAAACCATTACTGACTTACAAACAGTAGAACAGTCATTGCCTCACAGACAGCAGAAAATAGTCACTGCCTCACTAACAGAAAACAGTCACTGTCCCACAAACAGTAGAAAACTGTCACTGCCTCACAAACAGCATAAAATAGTCATTGCCTCACAAACAGCATAAAACAGTCACTGCCTCACAAACAGCATAAAACAGTTATTGCCTCACAAACAGCATAAAACAGTCATTGCCTCACAAACAGCATAAAACAGTCATTGCCTCACTAACAGTACAAAACAGTCACTGCCCCACAAACAGTAGAAAACTGTCATTGCCTTACAAACAGCAGAAAGCAGTCGCTGCCTCACTAACAGCATAAAACAGTCGCTGCCTCACTAACAGCATAAAACAACCACTGTATCACATACTAAAGTCCAGTTGTTTCCGAGTATGTGTTATGATTATGATTCATACAGTCAATGGGAAGCGGTAAATCTGTAGGGGTGCTGCAACACCTAGGTGAATGGTAAGTAATCATGTTTAATCCACTGAGGCAGAGTGGACTCAGTTCCTTGAGTCAAAAATCAAACATCAGTGTAGCTTCCCTGTGTGTGTGTGAGAGAATATTTACACTGGACTAGTATGTATACACACACACACAGTCTACCCTCCCATACACAGTCTACCCTCCCACACTCTCTTCCCACACACAATCTTCCCTCTCACACACACAATCTACCCTCCCACACTTTTCCCGCACACACAATCTACCCTCCCACACTCTTCCCACACACAATCTACCCTCCCACACACTTTCCCACACACAATCTACTCCCACACTCTTCCCCACATACATCTACCCTTCCACACACAATCTACCTTCCCACTCTTCCCACACACACAATCTACCCTCCCACACTTCCCACACACACAATCTACCCTCCCACACTTCCCACACACAATCACCCTCCACACACTTTTCCCACACACACAATCTACCCTCCCACACTCTTCCCACCACATACAATCTACCCTTCCACACACTTCCCACACAACCCAATCTACCCTCCCACACTCTTCCCACACACACAGTCTACCCTCCCACACACTCCTCCCACACACAATCTACCCTCCCACACACTTCTCACACACAATGTACTCTCCCACACACTTCCCACACACTAATCTACCCTCCCACACACTTTTCCCCACACACAATCTACCCTCCCACACTTCTCCCACACACACAGTCTACCCTTCCACACCTTCCCACACATACAATCTACCCTCCCACACACACAGTCTACCCTCCCACACACACAATCTACCTCCCACACACACAATCTTCCCTCACACACACACAATCTTCCCTCACACACACACAACCTTCCTCACACACACACACACACAATCTACCCTCCCACACACTTCCCACATACACAATCTACCCTCCTACACACTCTCCCCACACACACAATCTACCCTCCCACACACTTCTCACACACACAATCTACCCTCCCACACACTTCTCACACACACAATCTACCCTCCCACACACTCTTCCCACACACACAATCTACCCTCCCACACTCTTCCCACAAAACACAATCTGGCCCTCCCACACACTCTTCCCACACACACAATCTACCCTCCCACACACTCTTCCACACACACAATCTACCCTCCCACACACTTCCCACACACACAATCTACCCTCCCACACTCTTCCCACACACACAATCTGCCCTCCCACACACTCTTCCCACACACACAATCTGCCCTCCCACACACTCTTCCAACACACAATCTACCCTCCAGGTAAACTCCAGGTAAACACACTCTTCCCACACACACAATCTACCCTCCCACACACTCTTCCCACACACACAATCTACCCTCCCACACACACTCTTCCCACACACACAATCTACCCTCCCACACACTCTTCCCACACACACAATTTGCCCTCCCACACACTTTTCCCCACACACACAATCTACCCTCCCACACACTCTTCCCACACACAAAATCTACCCCCCCACACACACAATTACCCTCCCACACACTCTTCCCACACACACAATCTACCCTCCCACACACTCTTCCCACACACAATCTACCGTTCTTCCGTCCTCAAATATCTACTCATTATCTATTTCATAATTGTCATTTTTCCTTTTTTCCCTTAATTCTTCCAGGGAGGTGGAATGAAATTTGGAAGGAAAAAGAAAGAA